CCCCCCCCCCCCGTGTACACTATATGACATCCAGTAGATTTCTAGCGGGGACCAATCAGAGGGCTGTTTTATTGTGCCGTTCTTCTACAAACAGCCAGCAGAATTATGAAGATACTCGTTCTCAATACACATGCTGCAAACTGAAGTAATGGCAGTCCTACGAAAATTCTGTTTGTAATGTATAAGCGCTTTATGTCGACGTACAATGGGTGTGAAATACATGTTTTCGCCCATCGTGTGCCACCGGCTCGGTGGTAATTGGCTACTTTACAAGTGAAAGAACCGCGTCCGTGGGCCTTGATGAATTATTCAAATTATTCAGCAGCCCTCTGATTGGTCCCCGCTAGAAATTTACTGGATGTCATTCAGTGACGAGCCCCCCCCCCCCTTGCAGACCCTTAGTAACAACTGCAATGTGTAGTTAAACAGTGAAAGGCTATAAGTACATGAATAATTAATTTGATCACAAATTCCTTTACATTTAAATCTGCCAAGTGATTGGCAGGTATAGATAGGATAATTCTCATTAACAATGGCAATGTATTGCCTCGTTAACCTGTAAAATCCCTTGGGAAGACTGTTAATTGGTTCATTCGTAGCAACAAAAGAATGAATAGTCAAGGCCATTTAAGGTGGGTGTGGTCTAATGGAGTCTATTGAATATCCCAGAGTCATGACTAGTGCTGTGTACCGTTTACTGGACATGTTCCGGACTTGTAAAAATGTTTAGGTTCAAGTAAAAAAAAAACCCTAAAAACCTAAAAGTCAAGAACTGATTCCGGACTTATTAAAAAAAAAAAATTCACGTACCCCTTTTCATCCAAACAACCTAAAAGCTTCCATACATTGAAAAATCTGTGCAGCCAAATGTAGAAATATTGCCATCGGGCATCGTCAAGTGTCGGCCTCCATGTTATGTGGCTTCAGTTTGGCCCAGACAACTTTGCAAGGTAACCAACATATATTAACATGTAATTTTGTATATGCCATGGGTATTATATAGGTCCGGAACTGAACCTAACATTTTGAACTTGAATCCGGACCTGAACCTAAATATAGGTATAGGTATACAGCACTAGTCCTGGCCAATCATAATAATGGGTATTCAAATCATAATTGGTATCCAAAGTTTTGATACTATTAACATGTGGGCAAATACTGTGTATGCACATGAGCATACATGATACGTAGAAACTGTGTATGTAGAATTTTTCCTGCATGTAAAACGGCCTGGTTTGACAATTTTACTACCTAGTAAAAGTACATAAAGAATAGAACTATTTTGTACATGAGCATGCAATTCAGCCATCAGGCTGCAATATGCTTTTCTGAAATAAACCAATTATGAAAATTATAATTATGAATTATTAGAAGAACACTATTTTTGTCAAATTCTCCACCTACAATCCTGTAGTGATTGGGGGGGGTTTACAGTGATAGGTGCATTGAACCAGAATGCTCCAGGCAACAGTGTATGTAACAGAATGGTTATTGGAAGGTGAAGTTTTTCTATTGAAGTGGTAACAGGATAACATGTTATTGTGTTCCACAGCAACAAGACTATGTATCCTATAATCAATCATGTTGTTTAACAGACTTGGCAGGTGTAAGTAAAAGTGTAGATACCTGATACCCCATACACCCCACAACAAGTAAAAGTGCCCATACACCCCACAACAAGTAAAAGTGTTGGGTAAGGTACATGTATATAAATTTTTAAACTAAAGGCAACCAATACAACTTGGTGTGGCAGGGTAGCAAAACAAACAAGAGTTCCACGATCTCATACCTTCGCCAAATGATGTTAACCCTTGTGGTTGACAAATTATAAAATTTTAATCATTGATTTTGTAAATAAGAGCCCCATTTGCATGGATTATATCAGTTGATCATATTCTCCACCCAATAACAGCCTTATCTTAACAAAAATGCTATTATAGCACTTCCTCATAAATTATGCAAATGAGGTCATGATTTGAATAAATTATGTTTATCGATGCTCACCTTCACTTAACTTCCAAATGTGGTAAGTATGAAATTCCCAGCAGTTACAACTATGAAATTATAAAAAAATTCCATTTATTATGCAAATTAGGTCCTCATTTACATAATCTATATCCTCAGATGTTTTCTCTCGTTCTCACAAGTGATGTCACAAGTGTTTCATAGTTCTATTATCGAACAAAGCAGATTTATAGAATTTCCTCATTAATTATGCAAATTAGCTCCTGATTTGCATAATTGTCATCTGATCATGTCAAGCATCACTTCAACTACCTACATACCAAAAATCACGACAATCCGTCAACCGGTTCTTGAGTTATCCTCCTTCGAGAATTTTTCAACAAATGCTCCTGCAGTTCCAGAACAAGCCGCTAGGGAACCCAAACTCATGTCCCTTCTTCCCTATCCCAAGAGCTATCTGCCATCCAAAATTCGTGACCCTAGCATGTCCAGATCACGAGATATCAAAACCGGAAGTTCTGCTGCAGTACCTAGGAAAGCCACCAGGGGGCCCAAAATCTAATCATTTTTAGGTCTCATGAAGACCTACCTACCTACCAAGTTTCATTCCAATCCATCCACTGCTTCTCGAGTTATCTTGCTAAACCACACACACACACACACACATACCCACAGACAAACGCTACTGAAAACATAACCTTCTTGGCGAAGGTAATAACATTCAGGGCTCTCCCCAAGCAATGAAGCAAGGGTGCTCCCCCTCTCCCCAGAATCCTAGCACCTCTCCCAGATGTTCAAATTTAGGGTTTTCTCTTATTTCATGAAAATTTGCTGATTTTGCATTAACCGATTAGGGAGCACCTCTCTGCTAAGAATATCTGGGGAGAGCCCTGACATTGTAGATGATGAAATCTGTCTGATATTGACATTCATTGCCATTACTTTTGCACATGTGTATCATAAAGTTGATTGCATGGTTCATGTCCATATATTTTATTGTCATTGTACATTACCAGTTTGTGTATTTTTCATGGTCTCAAGAAATGTAGCCTGGGTTCCAGACCCATAGCACACTGGACACAAAATATCTCAGTGAGCCTGAGATACTTTGTGTCCAGTGTGCAATGGGTTTGGAACCCAGGCTAGAAGAAATGTTATATTTTGCTGATGTTAGTTCCTTCTCCTGTGTTCCAGCGGGTCAGTGGCTGGGGTTCTGTAGCAGGACCCTGTCCTGGATGTTTGGCTGTGAACCTGGGATCTCTGGGTAGGTTAACAAGTTACCTGATACTATCATGAAAGTTCATCTGTGTTGGTTGTTACATGTTTAAAGTTAAAACTTTTGGTCCAACACAAAAAATTCTCTCACCTAGAGCTTTCGACCAGTCACTCTGGTCTTCCTCAGTAGACTGACCCAGAAGCCACGTGGCAAGCCTCACTGGGTCAGTCTACTGAGGAAGACCAGAGTTTTAACTTTAAAACAGGTTACCTGACATTCCCTTTTTCTCCATGAGTTTGAAGGTTGATGGTATGCAATAGTGTGTGGGGAATATACACATATTTCCTATCCTATGGCTTGTGTTGCCTTCTTTTGCTCCATGCGATGTACCATTTTCACCAAACACTAATCACCTCTAGGCCTAGAAAAAAACCCGGCTGACTAAAGAAAAAAGAAAATCCCTACCTACCCTATTTTTTCAGGACAGGAAACAGGAAACACAACATTAAATTTCCTAGGCCTTAGCTCCTTTTCCTTCCCTCTCCTTGAACCCAAAACCCACCTTGTTCAATCAAAGCTGATGTGGCTGCCAAGTAGTCTAAAGATTTGATGAATGATTTGTGAGACACCAGATCACTATTTATTACACTGCAAATTTTATAATACTGAAAGGACCAAAATGTTGTTATCTATATCGTGCCTTCATCTTGAAAACATACTTCCTTCCAACCCACTCAACGCAAACGACGCCACATTATGTACTTTACTTCTTACAGGCAGCCCCTCCCTCCCATACCCTACAAACTGCCGTATCTTTGATATTGTGTTTAACTATATCCACCACTCTGGAAGATTTTACCAATCTCATTAATGTTGTTATGCTATAGATATTGGTGTGCCAGCCTCTTTCATTTTATGTTTATGTTATACTTTATGTCATCCTTATGTTAACATTTGTATCATGTTTTATGAGCAGCGGATTCACATAAGCACAACAAGTGCTTCCTATCCAATGCTCAAAAATCCATGTGAATAAAATAAAAAAAAATAAATGATTTGTTTTGATTCAAAAAGTTGATACATCCATGTATATCCCCCAGTAGTACCCAACACCCCAGTGCCACCACACCTACATGTACCGGGCTGCCCTTCCCAGAATCCCACACTCCACAATGATGATGATGATGTCATCTTTGTTGAAACTCCGACCACGGGTCCACCGCAACTGATTCAAGCAGGTAAGGCTCTTCACATTCTCAGGTGTCCTTGTGTTTGGGAAGAAAAATATGTAATCATTGCTAATATTGTGAAAGGAGATTAGTATAGAATCATTTTAATTTAACATGAAATATTCTAAGAATCTAATTCTCTGTCCTTTTCTTTGCTCCAAAGTCTAGTGATGCATACCGGTTCACTGGACTTGGATCCGGACTTGTAAGAATGTTTAGGTTCAAGTCCAAAAAAACCTAAAAGTCAAGAACCGAGTCCGGACTTATTACCATAAAAGACCATTTTACATACCCCTTTTCTTTCCAAACCACCTAAAACCTTCTGTAGATTGTAAAATCTTTGCTGCAAAACAAAGAAAACATTGCCACTGGGCATCGTCAAGTACCGGCCTCCATGTTATGTGGCCAAAGTTTCACCCAGACAGCATGCAATTTTGTATATGCCATGGGTTTAGGTCTGGACTTACAAGTCCAGAACTGAACCTAAAGCTCTGGACTTGAGTCCGGAGCTGAACCTAAAATTGGGTTTAGGTATGCAGCACTGCTCCAAACTTTAAGATTCTACCAGTTTTCACATAAGTTGGTATTTTGTTTTCAAGTGAGACAATCCAACTCAGTACACCCTTGTGGCCCTTATTAAATGGTAAGAATTGTTTGCTTGCGTCCATTTTTGACTTGGGCATGTTTAGAAATTAGATAGAAATTCAGTTTTTAAAACATTGAAAACGATATGTCAGCATCAGTGTAGGGAAAATGCTGCTTTGTGTTGAAAGTGACACACTGTGAGCGATAATACTGTTGGGGTGTATCTAATTGATTGCGGAAATATGTGGAAACTGTTTTCCTAGTGGTATAATGTTGAATCCCTGAGGACCATCAAGGTCTATGCATCACTTGAACAACATGCTGTTCTGATTTAACAGCTCTTTAATCAGTACTTGCATATGGTCTCATTCATGAGTTTTTTCCATACATTAGAAACCATGCATTAATGAGTGACTTACGAGACCGTGTTCCCTATGATCCTACATTAAATCAATTGATATCTTTCATGCTATGTTGAGCACACTTACTCTACGTCTCATAAAAAAATTGCCAACGACTTCTATACACACAATCCTGTTTTATGGGAATCACAAACTGCACTTAGCAGCTGTCCGCAAGAGGCCCTCCCGCGCTGCAAACCTACGACCGCACAACTCACAACAATGGACTGTGCACGTCCGACCTAGCGCGCGGCTGCCGACAATTACGTCCTAATTTCATCAGTTACAAACAAGCTTTCACCGCTTTGACGTTTTACATCAGTTGGGATGGCTAAAGGAAAAATTCTCACCAATAAAAACACGCGTTCATACAGCCGTTTAGTTTTTGACTTGGTACTCTTTTAGGGGGTACACTCGGAGTAATACATGAATGAGACCATATAGGAACCTTCATCCTATGCTGTAGCCTCTGGCTAAGCATGATAGAATACGTTTTGTTATTATTATGGTTATTATAATGGTAATGTGAGTGCGTGGGACTAGGTCTTTATGTGCTGTGTTTTCGCCTGAGGACATGTGTGTTTCATGTTATTGTGATGCATTTCTTCCTTTTTAATAAGGTGTGTTCCCTTCCGCATTCTCAGTAAGCCGTACCCTCTTAATTATGGCTTGATACAGTACAAAGGCAGTGCAGTACTTTAGCCTAAGGCAGGAGGAAATTGGTGCATAGTAAATAGGAAAGGTAATAGGTGTGCCGTCAGTTCTACAGCTGTCGTCCTATGAGGGCCTGCAAGGGGGGTCCCGACAACGCTCTACGCTGAATTCGGAAACCTCTCGATTATGCTTTACGATAAATTCCAAGTGGCCACAACGCATTACGTAGAATTGAAACGCCGAATACGCTCTACGCAAAAGGGCTTGCGGGCCCCCTGAGATGTTGTAAAATTTTCTAGTATTTGAATGGATGCAGGTTTCAACACCTAATAGCCTGGGTGCCAGACTGTTGCCAGGGCCAGTACACACACACGTAGCCTGGGTACCAGACCCTACAGCGAGTAAGTGATAATTCCTTCGGCCAGAGAAGCCATATGCAGTTGGCACCCTGGCTCTAATTATCTCCTTGCTGGAGTAAAAGATAAAGGGTTTGTGCGGATACTCTTGTAGCCAATAGTCATTAGGGTCATTAAAATTAGGCCACAGCAAGTAATTTTTATGGATGACATCAGCGCGCGCATTAATTTTCGCTTGATTTGGAAAAAAAAAGAAGAAATTTTGTTGCCTTCAGACAGTGGTCACCATACCGAAAATGGGCAAAGATGTCTGTTGCCATGCCGAAACATACATGTAGATGGCAGATAACTACATGTATGAAGAGAGACAAGAGAAGGCTCTGATTTAATGTTTCGTTTCTTACTTTGATCCAGTGATATGTGATGTTGGCTGTGTGTATGTGATGTTCCCACTGAATCAGAACCAGATCCATGTAGGAACCTTGTTTTTTTCGGCCCGCCTTGTTTTTTTTCGCCCGCTCGCATTAGATTTGGAGTCTGCGGAGGATGTCATCCATAAAATTTACTTGTTATGGCCTTAAGGCAAATACAATTATGCACATCCAGTGTATAACAGCTACAGAATAGTTTCAAACGAGAATTCAAATCACAGCCGTGAAAACCTCCATTTCTCTTGTACCTTGAAATAAAACCACCCTAAAGGTAAATGAATTGCCAGTATGTATCTGGAATGGGTTTCTGTAGTCTCCACCAGACTCCTTTGCAGGCTGAATAAATAGTTGAAATCGGCTAAGGGGAACTTCATTGGTCAGAGGAGTTGTCCGGCAGGCAAGCTGGACCCTCTATAGCCGGCCAACTCCTCTGGCCAATGATGTTCCCCTTAGCCAATTTCTACTATTTATTCAGCCTGCAAAGGAGTCTGGTGGAGACTAGGGTTTTTGTACATTTACCAAAGACCCCTTTGCTTCCTCCACATGTGGTAGGGTTTTACTCTAGGACCAGAAATCTCTGGGGATATGTTTCTCTTGTTTATGGGTCACTTGAAATGCACAGAGGGTCCACTCTCTACTGTAAGTTATGAAATTGTAGCCTGTGTGATTGTCCCCTCACAGGAGACCATTTTTGTTTTTTGCTGTTGTACTAACTAACTACTGAAATCAGTATTCACTCCATTGTATGTCTTGTATATGCAGACATTATATACTGTTATTGTAAGGATATGAACAGCTTGAAGTAATTAAAAACTTGGCAGTAAATTCAGATGACCTACAGTAACTGTAATTTGAGAAGATAGACCAATGAGCTTACCAGATGGAAAATGTTAAGGTGGCAGAATGAAGAATGAAGTTTTCAATTTGAGATTAGACAATGATTCACATCACAAGAGTTACCAATTTTAGTCCTTGTTAATGTTTTCAGTAGTTATTCTACATCAACAATATCCCAATTGTTATTTTAGAGGCTTGTATTTTTTTAAGGATAGGAACAAATGTGTTCCTGATTAGCGACCTACTTTAACTTTGCCTAATTCAAACCAGATAGAGCTGCCTGTTTGGTAAGCTCTGAACCCCCAGAGAGCTAAAAAAAAACCTTTGGAGCTCAAAGCTGAAGTAGTGGCAAGGATAACACCTAAGAGGGCCTGCAAGGGGGGGTAGTGATTACGAATTACGCAAAATTTTTGCCGCCTATTACGAATTACGTTAAAGTTTCAGAGCTGATTACGACTTTACGATTTGCGGCTTATGTCCAATTACGAATTACGTTGATTTTTGCGGAGGCTGCCTACGAATTACGACGTCTAAAACGGCCTGATTACGCCTTACGAAAAAGGGCTTGCAGGCCCTCACCTAAGGTAGTTTATCTTGTATATTGACAGACAGCACACATGCATACTTCAGTAGTGCAGTCCTCCAGAAGGATTGGATTCACACAAGGGCAACCATAGAACTCCCAAGGTCAAGAGAGGATGTTCTGTCCTGTCTGACCTTTGACAAGCCTTGACCTTCTGCTTGACCTTCTAAAAGGAATTTCCTATACCCTAGGGCCATACCATATGACTGAACTGAAGGCTGTTGAATGATTGAACTTACAGCTTCAGGCTTGGTAGATTTTCCAGGGTAACATGAGGGTAATACCCCCCCCCCCAGGAAAATCATCACCCCCAGAGGAACAGCATTGACAAGTGCATAAGACATCAGCCTCATTAGGCTGCAAGGCATTGTGGGTAGCCGACAGCTGTGGAATGAACACAGTAGCTCTTGTGTCTGGGTGGGATTTTGGCGTGGAAGGAAGGAAGGAAGGAAGAAACGTGTCTGTGTAAGGAACGGTTTCTCTACGTCTTCTAGGATGATGGACTCACTGTCTACATCGCGGAGCTTATAGGTTAGAGTCTAAATGTTTCTCAGGAAGTCCTGGCAGTGTAAACATTTGTGTAAGGGGGCCTTGAGTGCTGTGCAAGGGAAAGGGGTTGGTGTTGACAGTCTCCATGCCTGTTGAATGTAGCCTCCATAGCATGCCAGAAACTGGGGGTTTTGGGGGATCTTCAGGGTCCTTTGGGAGCTTTTATGTGCTATTTTCTGATTGCATATAGACGACATAGCCGGCCCGGTTGAATTTCCCACGTTAGAACTGGGCTAATCAGAAAACAGCCGAAGACCACCAAACCCCCAGTTCTATAAGCCTGCTACACAGGCTATGTTGGATGGAAATTTTGGCATCTTTCAACGGCCTTTGTTGAGAGGGAGAAGGTATATTCAAGTGTGTCCATGTCAATATTAGAGTTGTATTTATTTGCATCCAATCATCATTGAGATTTAAATATTTCTACACTTAAAATATACAGTGTGGATTTCCATACTTTCCAGTACATGTTTGCCTCTCAAAATGTGGGAAATAGCATTTCAGCATGGCAGGAATCCAACATTTTTTCCAGAGGAACATGCCTTTTGACAGCCCCTAGATTTTTGTGTTTATTCCAAGCTGATGAAAGACCTCTTCACTTGCCATCTTCAGTTGTGTCTGGCAGGAATGCCTTTTGTAATGTAAAGCCCAAAACAGTACTGGTGTCCCAGACAAACATTGCTGTGTGCAGGGAGCCACAGTCTGGCTTGTACATGTATGTCTCGCTACTGGTCCAGGGTCCAGGATTGGTGATAGAATACTAAGTATTGTCGGTTTTCTCTTGCTATCATTGTATCATTGGTTGTGTTACTTACTGCAGTTTCAAACTCAAAGAATTAACTTGCCGACAGAATTTTAAATTTTGCTTTTGGCAATCTCCAAATTGACTTCATGCCAGCATTGCTCTACAGGCTAGACATTAATTAACCATTACAACCGTAAAACAGCTACATATCACTTATCAACGTACTCTAACTGTTTAAGTTGAAACAACACTCTCACAATGTATATAGACATTCATGGACAGAAATAGATTTTTATTTGAACCAGGCTATCTATTCATGACCTGTAGGCTGCTTTTCATTAAGGTCATGAGAGAAGAGGTAAGGGTCAGACAAGATATATAAAAAAAGATACAGTTTGAAGTACTGATAAGTCCTAGATGTATTTCGTAAAATGTAAACTTTCTACCTTTATGTCCAAATCTGTATTAGTCTAGTGCATAAGTGATGTTGTGAATATGCTGAGCAATACATTTTTATTGTGTGTATATTAGTAAATTGTAAAAGCTGCTTAATTCAGCCTCTAGGCTGTAAAAAAGCTTTCAATTTGCTGTATTATGTATGTCTTTGCAAGAATAAACCTTGACTTACTTGACTTATGCCGAGTCCTGGTGTCCCTGGCTTTGAGTAAAAAAAAAAGAAAGAATAAACCAGTCATATATAACCCTCTTTGCTATTTTTTTTTAAACCCAGGTAATGCTCAGGTCAGAACAATGTCTTCAGACGAGGATGACCTTCAGGTGACCTATGTGTCCCTCCCGGAGACGGCACACTACCCCCATGCCAGGGGAGACTGCAAGATCCACACCTTCAAGTGAGTTCCTTGTCTAGTACTAGTTCCGCCGCTCAGAACCTTTCAGCGTGCCACTAGGTTCTCTTCCAGTTCTCATCAATACACCGTTAACATACCTGTCTCCAAGTCATTTTACAACAACAGCTTCTTTCCCCGGACTGCAAAATTATGGAACCCTCTTCCAAACAGATTTTTTCCGTCCGACTACAATCCACAAAGCTTCAAAACAAAGGTCCATCGCCATCTCCTGACATAACTACATTATACTCTAGCTCTATGCCTAGAAGTGGCCAAAAATAATTGGCCTTGCATTGAGCGACACCGTTAAAAAAAAAAAGTAGTAGTAGAGCAGTAGCGAAGCTGCATTGCACAAGTATAGTTCAGGGTTCTCACCAGGATTTTTTCACAGCATAGGGGTCAGGTACAGAAGGGAATATTTTGCGGTGCAATCACACATTGAGCAAAAAAAATTTAAAACTCAAACCGAGGTGCAAGTAGACATCAGGAATACCTGCACAGCTCCAATTCTACCTACACTAACCTGCATATACCCAGTACATGGACCAGTGCAGGTAGACATCAGGAACACCTGCACAGCCCCGATTTTACATGTACTAATGTGCATATACCCAATAAATGGACCAGTGCAGGTTAAGTGCTGGTAGACATCAGAAATACCTGCACAGCCCCAATTTTACCTGTACAACCCTGCATATGCCCAGTACACTGCATATCATTAAGGTATATCAACCCTCACTGCTTTACAATTACAGACAAATTGGAATTCAAAAGCTTGGGAAGTCGTGGGGATACGGCAAATGGAAGTCTCTTCAGAACAGGTGACGACTGGAGAGTGGATATTTTGTGTGGGGTTGCTGGTGGTGATCTCTTGTTAACCCTTGGTCCTCCCTACATTACTTGGTTGCTGTGGCTTATCGAGGGCTGCTCCAAAATGTTTCCGTTTTAATAGGAAAGGCGAATAAATTTCTGAAAAGGATCTGTTTAATTTGAAGTCATGGTGTTACCTTAATTTCTTCAGCAGAAGATGACACCATCGACCTTTTTAGGGATACCGTGCACAATACGCAACAGTTCAACGTTTGCCATATCTATGCCCCTTAGACTTAGAGTGCACACACTATTGGTGAAAATGTCTATTGAGTTACCTTTTCCGTTAAATAAGAATTTAACGTAACACCATGAGTACAAACTTGATGAAGTTTATCTGGAAAGTCTGCCTTCCTGTTTGAAATAGTTTGGACCAGCCCAGCAGTTTTTTTTGTTTGTGACCTCTGTCTGTGTTTCAGGTGCTTGTCTGGGTTTTGCTGTGTTACTGTATTTCAAGTCTTTTTGTCTGATTATGTTATTGTGCTCAGTGACTGACTGGGGTAATTCTAGTAGCACGTCGGCAGAACGTACTGCACCTGCGCGAAACCCGTAATGTTTTGTGCATAGCACTTCGGCAGAACTTCTTTGAAAAGCTGTACAAACTTCATTTCTCAATTTTCGGACTACAAATATATCGAAACTACTATTTTAGACATATAGTTTTCATATCTATATCCATTTTACCTATTTATGGAGGTGACATAAACACTTTTAAGGTCGTATTCGCATATTCAAGGATGTCTATAGTTTTCAAATGTTGTGTCTGAAATTTGTGAAAAGATATCATCTGCAACGAGCAACGTTGACCAAACATCCAAAGAAAACTGAAAAATCAGGGTTTCACACAGGTGCAGTATGTTCTGCCAATGTGCTGATTCTAGCAGTTCTTGTCAAGGACACTCGAGGTCAAAATGTCCAGCTTCTTTCATGCAGAAACATTGGTACAAGTGTGTGACTTTAAGTACATGTATTAGTGGTCATTGTCAGTTACAAACATCTGAGCCACTATCAGCCTCACACATTCTTGAGCTGGGTTTGGTGTTGACCTGTGACCTGGACGACCTGTGTTGACCTGTGACCTAAAAGTGTCTGTGTGTGTTTCCTCCAGGGAGGTTGACCTGACAACCATAGGGCCAGTGGAGAACAACGCCACATTCTGTGAGAAGTGTTACTGCTTCATGTGTGATGTGCCAGCTAGTCAGGTGAGAAAAATGTTTTTTTTCCACCTCCACAAGTCAAATTATAACATCAAGTTTTAGTTAAGGTGGCGAAACAAAAAAATGGATGAGGATGACACTAACATTCACGTAATTTAGTATGATGATTTACTACACATTTACATCATAATTTCATCCTTGAAGCATTTGAAATAGCCCCAAAACAAGCCATGCGTGGTTTCCCATTAGTTTAGTATTATAGGATACTAGAACCAAAACCATCAGCAACATGGCGTTTTTGCTGTACAGGATAGGATTGATTCAACTTGCTACATTAAAAGAAAAAAAACAGAAAATTGATATTAAAAGACCAGTTTTGCCACCCTGAAATTGCATCGGATGCCTTTAAAAATATTTAGAAAATTCCTTTATTAGAATTTGAGAGTTGCTCTGAGGTGCCTGTAAATTTTTCTGCAGTGTCAGCAGTGGACGGACCCAACAGGTGCCCATTGCAATGCCTACAAGTGCCCGGCCTGGATGGCACAACAGACATCCAAACCCAGCCCTCTGCTGTCCAGACTCACTGTAGAGCTCATCACTCAAGAAGTCCGAGATGCAGGTAGAGCAATCCTTCTTTTCTTTCCTTTTCACCTCTGAAAATCTTTCATAAAAGGATAATGATAGGTATTCCTTGAATGTGATTTTACTTAGAATCTAAAAACTTTGCTGTACTTCACGAGTGTTTTTATACTTAAGGCCTCAGAAAAAAAATGTTTTGTTTCCTCTTACCCGACCGACCCTAGAAAAACCTACCGACCCTAGACTTTTTTTGGGGTGAACCCCTGCAAGGGTCATAAATTTTTTAAATTTTTCGAGCTGATCAACCTTTTCCAGCTCCATGATCTGACACCTGAGCGATAAAACATTGTACAATTGTTTTTTTTTACATTGAAAATAAAAGTGTCCTCATGCAAGTTTTACTTTGTTTACTGTATCGTATAAGTTGGATCCCTACATGTATATAGATATCACTGAAGTGTACAAAAATTAAGATAATCTCTACCTACTGAGCCTAATTTTTTAAGGACTGAAACAGGAAACACTTCTTTTAACTAGGCCTAAGGGATGTGCTGTAGACAGAAGTACAGGAAGTGGCATCGCTAACGGATTATTCCATTGTTTGTTCCAGTGAGGAGAACAGATGAGCTGGTGAAGGGTATCCAGGAGGAGTACGTGACCTTCAGGAAAGGCAAGGCCTGCCTGTGCACATGTCATCAACTGGTCCCTGGATCCTACTCGTGTGACGTCTGCAACCCACACCACATAGTCGAGCAGTACGAGTGAGTTGTTCCAACTTCTTAATCCTAATCTGAATCCAATTTTTACGTCAATTTCCGTCGAGGGTTTGACGTGCTTGCATCATCTTTTTTTGGAGCAATTCTTGTTTTAATAAAGGCATCCAATGCAATTTCTGGGCGACATAACTGGATTTTCATGCCATATCACTGACGGAAAATGGTTGCGTGTTTTGTAGTACAGGCTGGTTCTAGCTTGTGGGGTGTGGGTACCCCAAAAAATAATCTCCAAGCAGATCTTTCCTTGGCCACAAAAGACAGTATCGTATTGGCAAGTCAGTATCCATTCCAGACATTATCCATTGGCCACCCTTCAGTGGCTAATGAACACTCTTCTGGTCCGTGGATACTGCCTTGCCACCGATGATCTGCTTGGAGATTACCAAAAAAAAAGAGACACCTCATGTAGCTTGTTTTGGGGGCTATTTCGAACACTTCAAGTACAAATTGATGATGGAAATGTGAGTTAGTAAGTTACCAAAGTTTTTCATCTTTCAAAACTTGCAGCTAGTCAGAGTAAAGAGACTCTTTTTACACAACCAAGTCTTTTATTCAGCCGACGTTTCGGTGACCGTCTGTCACCTTCCTCGGGGCAATTCTGACTGGTTCACCCTGCACTGCAGCACAGGCGTCGCTGCTACAGATGTATTCCCAAATGTACAATATTTACATATCTACACACATACATGATTGGATTATAGGGAAACGTCGGATGAATAAAAGACTTGGTTGTGTAAAAAGAGTCTCGTTGCTCAGTGTCTTACTAACCTGATGAAACTATTCATGGTTGCAGCTACTCGGTTGTGAAGCAGAAGCTCCTCGTGGCTGTGCAGGAGGCCAGAGGTCAGAGCCAGGCTGGGAGGGGCGATGCCGGCATGGTGATTCTGGACTCTCTCATCCACGTACTGGTACTGGAGAAGTCTCCTCCCAACACCAGGCCTAAGTGAGTATCTCTTCTAGCATGAAAGTGTATCTTTTTTTTTTTTTAACCGAATTTAATGTCATTTTTCCCCAACTAGGCTAGTGTAGGGGTTAGACGTGCTTGCACCAGGTACAAGTCTTTTTGAAGCAGGATTTTTACGGCTGGATGCTCTTCCTAACACCAACCCAAACCCTAGTAGGGCCTAGGATCCCTCTAACTGAGGGGGGAAATGTGTGTTAAGTGCCTTTCCCAAGGGCACAACGTCTGGGTGCATGTCCGGACATGTCTGGGTCCAACCCTGGGGATTGAACCTGGGTCTTCTTGCTTGACAGTCAGACGCTCTATCCACTACACCACACAGACGCCACATCTGAGTTGGTTAAATACATGAAGAAAATTAAACTGTTCTCCAACTCAAAACGAAATTAACTCACCAGAAATTTTCAACTGAATCGCTCAGTCTTCATCAGCTTTATGACCCAAGTGCACGTCACACATGGCTAGAAGTCATTTTTGTCCACAGCACTTGGGTCATAAAGCTGATGAAGACTGAGCGATTCATTTGAAAATTTTTGGTGTGTTAATTTCTTTTTGAGTTGGAGGAACAGTTTAATTTTCATGAGTCTGTCTACATTTGTTACAGAGTGACTGATACAATGCTATATTGAAGCAAGTTTGAAGTGTAATTTCCAACACAGGAAATTGGACTTACGTAAATGTTTGACTGTACAACTCCAGTCTTTGACAAGGAATGAGCAATCCACTAGTACTGCTTCTGTCACGTTGTGTTATGTAGATGACAGGGCTGACTCAATGAGTAGACTTTCTGAAGCCTGTGATCCACTGTTATATGTATATTTACACTGACATTGATATACAATGTACATGTATGTACTTCTCATAAAGATGTGTTAAAAATAACCTATAAAAACAACGATCATTGTTACATTACTTATATATCTATGGAAATGATATCACCATCTAATGATACATCTAAGATAAACGTTGTTTTGGTTTCTATGAAGTGAAAAAATAAAACAACTGCTTGATGTTCTACTAGTAATATTTCTCTTTTCTTGACAGTCGAAATGTGGGGTACAAAGTGTGGGAAACCAAGTTTTACCAGTCAAGGAACGAGATCATGAAAGAGTAAGTACAGGGATAAAGACATTATTTATTAGAATTCATTAGAAGTAGTTTGTTTTGAATAATATTTAAGTCAAGTTTTTAGTTGTAATGTGTACTTTGAATGTTCAAATTACCAGTATATTAGGACTAATTCATCAAGCTTAGACAAGTTTTAGTCTTAAACTTAGCTAAGTGCACACATGACAATTTTGTCATCTCTGCATGACTTTTGACTTGTTGAATTTTAGAAACTATGCTCTGTAAGAAACAGAAAAATGGTTTATTGGTATGTTTTTTTTTTCTTTGTAGAATTGACGAGCTGTTGATGGATATCTTCGTGCTTGTCAAGACAACCCCAGCGCTACGGAAAGCAGTCATCGACAACCTCACTGAAATGCTCAACAGGGAGGGAGTACGGCATCCTTGGTATGGCTGTTGGTTTATAGTTATAGTACAACATTTATGAAATGAGACTTCTTCTTTAATTATTAAGGATGTGTCAGGAATTACATCTAATAGATCTACTCTATTGAGCCTGTTTTAGCCATTGTCCTCTTAGTAGGATAAGAAGAATAAATGTATAGAAGAGTACACATATACTTTAAAAGTGAGTATTGTAAGGCTTGTAATATTTAGATTATGTAGGAATTTTATTGCTTTTAGATTAGTATATAGTAGAGGGGATTCATTCCTCAAGCTGACATCTCGCACATGCAGTCGTCCCTCAGTAAGACATCCGGAGTTCCAGTCCAGAACTTTTATTCAGCCTGTTGCTTTTAGTTTACTTTAAGTTGTAATTCATACCACATTCAACCAATGAAGGCTACTGTACATGTATGATGTGTCTTGCAATCAATGATGTAAAAGAAACCATTCACTCACTCACTCACTCACTCACTCACTCACTCGTTCATTCATTCATTCACTCATTCATCCATTCACTCATTCATTCATTCATTCATTCAATCTTCTTCTTCAGGGCACTTTCGATAAGGCAGTGGGAGGACCGCCTCCTGTCCCTGGTGCTGACCGGGTCGAACCTGACCGGCCGGAAGGGGACCGACGTCCTCCTGGAGCCCTGCATGGTGATCCGGCGCCGCGTGGAGCGGCTGAAACACGACGGGAACTACCGGCAGGCCGTGCGCTACCTGAAGTGCGTGAACATCCCATTACACAACTCTGCCGGCGGCACGTCGGTGACCCAGGAGAGGGCGGACTTCCTGCAGTTGCAGCACCAAGTGCCTCTGCTGTATGTGAGGTGCGGGTCTTTTTTTTTTTTTGAACGATTTTATTCTTCAAAGCCCTTACATATCATACATGAACATACAATGTAACTGAAGATCAGACATAAGTTTGACACAAGTTCAGAAAAATTAGGAATACATCATCTTTCTTTCTATAATCTTCTTTCCATTCTAACCAGGTGCGGGTCTTTCAACGAGGCCTTCATGACTTTGACGTCAGGACCGGTAGATGCTAAGCACCTTAGGGACTCCATCATCGCGAAAATGGACGGAGGAGCCTTCCTTGAACTGATGAAGTCGCTCAGTACGGACCTATGCGGCGTCAAGGGCTTGCCAACACACAAGATCCTGTGGGCCTGCTTGATAGCATTGACAATGAACGTGGGAGTGCAGCTGAACTTGGAGTTCCTGGTATGGTTTGTACAGTGGGCAGCAAGCAAGACAATAGGTGACCATTCTCCCAGTTATGATGAGACCGCGTGCAATCGGGCGAGATCGCTGATACAGGCCTCCCAGAGTGGCGTGCTGACGGTGTCAGCCTTGAAGGAGACTATCATTCACTCGAGGCTGGCTGTTACGGCCAGCGAAGCGGTACTGTATCCACTGTTCGCTCACAGACACGACGCACATCTGGATAGTGTTGCCTCTGCCTTCGGCACCAAACTCTGGGCATTCGAGTGCTCCCTAAACAGCTGCACATTGTCCAGCGTGTTCGCATCCACGCACTTGTGCCAGTGGCTACAGAAAAAGTACCTTCCACAGTACGGCGCTTCGAGGATAAAGGACACGGTGTGGTCCAATGTTCTGATCAGCGTGCCTCAGCCTATGTCCGCGTCACTCATCGAAGACATGCTGAACACGAGCCCGGCTGCCTACGCCACCATCTTCAGTTGTCTCGGCTACTTCACTACACAACTGGTGGCCGTTCCGACGGCAAAAGTGGACAAAAGGCTGCTGGGGGTTCTGTCGACCCAGATATTCCCGATGGCGAAAGCCGCTGATCATACAGCATTGCTGAGCAACATTGTAAAGCTGTCCTTCTTCAACGACCCAAACGAGGCGACTGTACTGGTCTTGAGAGAGCTGTACGTCAAGGAGTGGCCAAAAGTTTTGGATTCCATGATCCGAGTACTTCCGCCAGAAAAGATGGAAGTTGCCCTGGTGTCCTGCTTCTCCACTTGCGTGAAAAAGGGAGAGGTAGATATAGTCGTACGGATGCTACATGCAAACCGTGCCGGGCATGCTAGTGCCAAGACTGCCTTTGACTATGTGCCCACTGTGTCGGTCTTGGTAGAGAAGCTAGCAGGGCAGCTCCCCGAACTTGACAAAGATGTGGCCTTGCAGCTGTGTGACGGCATCAAGGACTGGTTGAGAGATGAAAGCTACTGCCCCTTACTGTGCCAAAACTGCAACTACGACATATCCCTCATCTCTCTGAACAACGTCTGGAAGTCCGTCGGCTCCATCTGCCCGGATAGACTTGAGCACATCTTAGCACATGCCATGAAGAGGCTCGGGAAAGCTGTGTCGTCGTTCCACATGGTCAAGCAAGCCCAGAGAAGTTCCATGGTGTCCTGGTTGAAGAGAGTAGCGACTGTGATGAAGCAGATGGGGAAGAAGGTGGAATACCAGGTGCACCTGAGCTTCCTCGTCTCAGCCATTTCCACGAAGAGAGGCCTGGTGAAGGAGATCCAGAGCTGCCCAGAGCTTGCCGCAGACATCATACCAGGGTGGATGCTGCAGGAATGGGAAGGAAAGTATGTCCGATCCATGTCTGAGTGGAGCGTCAAGTCGTCAGGGCCAACAAAGCTAACCTTCAGGAAGACTATAAGCCCCGGACCTGTGTCGCCAGTGTACAACAAAGGGTCCTCCCCGGAAGTACAACAAACAGGCAACCAACTGTCGCATGGTCCTGCTGCAGTTTTGCAGACAGGCGTTGGTGATGTTACCTCAGTGCATGCAAGCCTTAAGGAGTCCAACAACAACGTCAGAGCTCCTGGAAGTGGGAACAAAGACCTGAAGAACATGTCACTGGAAGATATACTACAGTATAACTTCCCTGCGCAGGCAAATTCAATGGTGAATGGGGAAGCTGTACATCCAGTGTTGTCAAGGGGAGGAAGCCCACAGGTGGCCATCCAACCAGCAGATGCAAGATACGCTCGACAGGGCACACCGGATAGTCTGATGGCAGCAAATGGAATGGCACAGCCTAGGCATTATAATCCGGCAGTCAGTAACAGTGCAAGTCAGGCGCTGCATATGGTAGCCAGTCGAAGGCAGATGGCCAACAATGCATCCTCACAGAATTTGCCTCTCGAAAACCAACAGATGGCTTCAACTTCAGCAATGCCTCCATCGGCCACAGGGAGTTCCACCATTGTCAGTGGTGCTGGGTCTAATCAGGCAGTCATGACGCCTCCCCCTCCACTCATCAGTGATGCAGCTAACCGCCCTCAAACCGACCAAGTGCCTCCGTTACCAACTCTCTCCAGGGCGCCACCTCCGCAGTATGAAGCCTACATGAGGTCCTGGCAAAATTCTGAGGCAGCAAGTCAACCCTTGCCGCCGCAGTCGTCAGCCAGCCAAAACGTGGCAAAAACCGGGCGGCCGCTGGACAGAATGGCCAACTTCGTGAACTCCTTGGTCCCGTCTTCCAGCCAGGCGCAGACCATGACTCCATACCAGATGATACAGCCGAGAAGGTACCCAATAGAAGTCCAGCAGCTGTCGAATGGTCAAGCCCTCGGCGGTATGCCGCAACATCCCATGCAACCTGCTGCAACCAGCTCACCAGTAGCAAGCACAGCTGTGTCACAAGCAGTGCAGCCTGGAGTCCAGATTGCCCCACAACAGTGCTCTACCACTGCTGTGTTGGATGCAGGACCAACCGTACCGCAACTACAGAATGTTCAGAGCCAGATGGATGCAGCAACAACAAGGACTCTCACCCCAGAACTCCAAACACAGCTGCAGCCAGCTGGTAGCACTGCGGCAGGGATGACGACCCACTCATTTCAGAATGCGGCGTTTGGAGTAAGCATGCCAGTGAGCAGTGCACAGCAGCTTCCAACAAGATTCCCCACATCGTCAGAGCCAGTCCATGTCTTCATACCGAACGTTCACCAGAACCTTGTCAACGGCACGGCGGCACCAATGTCTGTCGTCCACCACTTCCCCTCCCCACAACCCTTCGCGATGTCGTCTCAGCACTTACAGGGGATGCACCCCGCAAGTGTGAGCAGTAGCGTGCACACCATTGCTGGTCAAGCAGCCCAAGGATTGCCGGTGTCTACATTGGGGCCAGTAGGACAACAGACAGGAAGCCCTGTTGATACTGTGCTGCAGACTGCAGCTTGTGCCGTACCTCAGCCTGTGAAAGTTTCTGTCGCAGATACTGTGTATGTGGTACCGCAGGAGGAAACGCAGGCCCCAGTCAGCAGCGCTCAGGACGCGGGCCCCGTTCCTGTTCACGTCACCTTCATCCCTCCCCCAGGCAGGCAGGAAGAGGAGGAGGTGGAGTCAGAAGATGACTTCACGTTTGACACGACGATGCCCTCGCCTCCACGGAATCTGGAGATCGACGAGATCGTTCTCATCAGTGACAGCGAGGAGGAAACTTTGTCATCTGGCAGCAAACCTGATGATGTTGATGATGATTCTCCCAACAAGGAAGACCAAGGGGAAGATGAGTTACCTGAAGGGGACTCCAACTTAAATCCTGAGCAGAGTCTGGATACTGAAGATGACTTACCTGAGAATGACTCCTCCTTAATCCCGGAGCAGAGTCTTGCTACAGAGACCGACTTAGAGACCGACTCTCAGCCCAAAGATTCACAACAAAGCTCAGAAGAGGAGCCACTGCTTCACATGTCCTGCGAGTCGATAGACAGTGATATTGACGAAGCCAGGACGGTTCCCCAACCAGGAAAAGGGGATGCCAGGGAAAATGTTGTGAAGATTTCCTCAACTGTTCAGGAGAATACATTGTTGTCAGAAAGGGCTCACCAAAACAGTGCAAACGTTAATAAGGGCCAAGAGGAAAATAGTGTAGAAGTAATAATTCAGGAGAAGACATCGTTGTCAGAAAGGGCCCAACAAGCCAGTGCAAACTTCAGTGCGAACCTTGAGGAAAATGGTGTAGAAGAAATAATTCAGGAGAAAACATCGTTGTCAGAAATGGCTTACCAAGACAGTGCAAACGTCAGTAAGGGCCAAGAGAAAAATGTTGTAGAGCCAATAGTCCAGGAGAATCCATCGTTTCCTGAAAGCATGCTCCAAGCCAGTACAACCAGTAACAACCCTGTGGAAAGTGACGTAGAACTAATAGTCCAGGAGGGTACTACAAGACACTACAGGACACTACAAGACAGTGCAAACGTCAGGAAGGGCCAAGAGGAAAATGTTGAAGAGCCAATAGTCCAGGAGGATACACCATCTTCTGAAAGGACACTCGAAGACATTGCAAACGTCAGTAAGGGCCAAGAGAAAAATGTAGAGCCAATAGTCCAGGAGGATACACCATCTTCTGAAGGGACACTCCAAGCCAGTACAAACCTCAGCGAGAGCAGTAAAAGCCATGACCAAAACAAGACTGAACAAACCCAAATTGAAGAAGAGGTTATTGTGCAGGAAAACAACGCCTCTACGGAAGCAGATCTAACCAATGCAGACTTACTGGAGAGCAACGAAACCCATGAAGAAAATGGACTAGAACATATGCAAGGTGAAAAAGAAACTATTGTCCTTGAACACAGTTCCACAACTGAAGCAGGTCAGTCTGAGATGGAATCTGCTGAAGGTTCCTCAATGGTGGCAAACTCTGATATCTCTGTAGTTCTGGATGATGTTGCAGATGACACTGATGATAGAAGTCTGAAAGATGAAAAAGAAACTGTTGTTCTGGAACACGGTGCCACAACAGAAGCTGGTCAATCTGAGATGGAATCTGATGAAGGTTCCTCAATGGTGGCAAACTCTGATATCTCTGTTGTTGTGGATGATGTTGCAAATGGCACTTATGGTAGAAGTGATGTCATTGTCTTTGAGCAGACCAAAGGAAATGATAGCCAAAACTCGGATATTGCTGTAGTTGTAAATGATGATGCAAATGACACTGATGACAGAATGGATGCTAATAGCTTTGAACAGACCAGCGGGGACAAGGAGAATGAAAGCCAAATGGAAGAGGACAATTCAACTGTACAGGACCAATGTACAATTCAGGACGATAACCTGACTTCAAAGGTCTGTCTTGACACCCCTGCTGACATCCCAAATGGAAACGATGATGTCAAAGAAGCCGAGAACGTGACTTCAGCAGCTTGTCTTGAAACTAATACTGACATACCTAGTGGAAACCATGATGTCAAACAAGTGGCCAACGTCAGTGAGTCTTCCGGTACTGAGAAGCCATACGCAGCTAGCGACAACAGCCAGTTGAAGGAGAAAACGGTGGTAGTAAAGACAAACATTGCTGAGAAGAAGCAGTCAAAGGAAACTGATGTCCAGATCTCCTCCGCTGTGGCAGGTGTGGTAGCGCGACTTGTCATGGAGGTGGTCAAAAAAGCAGAGAAGGGCTCCCGCGGTACACAAATGACCACGAACAAAAAGACAGGCGTGCAGCTTTCGAAGACTACCAATCGTGACAAGTCACAGACAAGCCCTACCAAAGATACTGATGACAAGTCACACACACGCAGGTCTACTGAGATGACAGCACATAAGGATACAAGAACAGGAAAGAAACGCAAGGCTGAAGCACACGCCAACGATGTGGTGAAGAAAACTAAGAAAATACCCTCTGAGTCTGATGCCAAAGAAGCGACTGGCAATAGCACAAAACGTACCAGCGGAAACGCCAAAGAGGATCGCAAAGTTGCTCTGGAAAAAGGATCGAATTCAAAACCCGTTCGGTCAAACAATTTGAATGCAGTAGAGCACAGAAGCAAACTCAACCGTGCCCACTCGAAGCAAGGCAACATCAAAGACAAAACCACCGATAGTAAAAACGGCAGGATGCCGAATGGGGCCGGGAAAACTGTTGACCTTACGAAATTGCGATCAGGAAAAGTGGAGGGTGGTCACCCTCGTTCCGGAAGGAAAGATCGGGAGAGCGTTCGCAAAGACGGTCTCGTGTCCCTTGAAATCATGACCGTCGACGCCAGTGCAGAAGCTAAAGCCAGCGTAACCGTACAGGAGTTGCGAACCGTCAGACGCAATGTCAGTTTTGAGGAACGGAAACCAAACAAGACGACCAAGGAAAGTCCCAGCTGTAGGAGCCTTCGGGCGCCGGGGACAAGACTGAGAAGTAGCAGCTGCGATGACGACACTGCAACGGAAAGGAACACGCTACGTCGTTGGTTAGGAAGACCTACCAAGGGTAGAACCAGCGGACCTCTCAAAACGGCCTTGTTCGCTAAGAAACATGATACGTCTCAGAACGCACTCGCGAAGAAACGCATCTTAGACAGAAGCAAGATGCCACCTGGTATAAAGCTGCCACGAGGGCTGAAGCTGAGGAAGTTTGCGATAGTCAGACTTGAGAGAATCGACCCTGATCGCCGTAGCGGGAGACCGCGCCTGAGGAGATGCCGTTCGCAGCTTACCTGATGTTTCAGTCACGGCGTACCCTGACCAGATATAGTCATGCCAGGAAAGTGGAGATGTGAACATCCCTAGCTTGGCTGACGTGTGCAGACCTAGGCAAGAGGACATCACCGAAGAGATATGTCTATCGATATCGTAGGTAGTATGTTTAACCCACTTATGTATAACCCATGTTGAGTTGAACTCCTTTGTTGGTCAAATTATATATTTGTAACGTTTTAGTGCTAGATTAAGATCGTGAGATTTTAAAATTTCATTGAACGTAAATGAATGAAGATTTTGACAGTCACTTTACACCAAAGAGTGGATAAGCAATATTCAACAACACGGTGCCATACGAATGGGTTGCTGTTGAAGATCTTATACCGTTGACTGCTGTTTCAAAAAGCAGATCAGTGTGAACTTTTTGTCCTCACTCAGGGGCCCTTCAAACTGACTCGAATCAAACAAACAGCCATATTAGACTAAGAGAACAATTTGACAGTACAATGCCAGTTGAACTATTATATAATCAACCGAAGAAGGTCTACATTTCTATTGTTTGATTATATTGTAAAAATGTACAGTGAAGTTTGTCTTGTAATTTATATCCAAACGTCCAGACATCAGATCTTTAATACCAGTATACTCTTATTTTTGGATTTGTGGAATAATATGTCGACTTTGGCAGCTTTTTTTGGCTGTCATTTCTAGAAGTACTTGCAAGCAGTAACCATAGCTTTGTTCGTCTTTTGAAATCCGAATTGGTCAATGTCTATATCACACATTCTTCCAATGAAAAAAGTCCTTATCCCCTGTGCCATACAAGTGGTGTACAATACCATGACCATTGTAAATATTTAGTCACGTTTTAGGGTATATATAACGTTATCCGATTCATATGTACTGGGTTGGATCCCTGAACACGTTGCAGTACTAGTCGTACGCACGCGATGTTTTCCCATTCAGTCCAGTGGTCATGTTATAATAGTAGAGCCTGTTCTGTAGAGTGGGAAGGCTAAAATGTCTGCCTTCCATACATGTCTGCCAATGCCAGGGCAATTCAACTGAAGAAAGTACGCTTTACAGTCTGGCGTTTGGAGATGGATTCTTCATTGCAACAGCAAAGCTTTTTGCACCACTTCTGGAGCGTTTGTCCTTTTTGTCAATAGTCTTTAACTGAAGTAATAGAGGATAATGCAAGTTTCTGAAATACGGAGTGGAAAAATATTGACAGACTCTTAAGCCGTAGTTTCGTCATGCATATTATTTATATGTTTAACGTTTATATTGTTCTTCCTTGTTTTATGTTATAACAGTTACTTCACCTTTGTTTATTTGCTCAGTACGTTCTCACTAGTGTTCAGTTATAGTCAATAATTAATATGGCAATCGTCAGTGGTCTGGGAACCATCGTGTGACTCGTTCGTACATTCCAAATAAAATATTTTTATATGCAGCAGCAGTTCTGTGTGGTCGTTTTTGCTCCGCTTCTTCTTCTTCTCCAAACTGTGACCTGACCAATGACATGATCAACATGGTGACTGGTGTTGGGTTACATATTGTTGCAATTTCATGGTCTCAATCTGCTCTGCTCGAGTGAGTTTTTTCAGTGGCAATTGGATGTTTGCAGTAAACTTAGCACAAAATTATATGTATCATTTCATGTTTAACAAGGTTTATGATGTCAAAATTTCAAAATGTAGGAATATTGTTTTTTCTTAGCCCAATCGCATTAGATTTGGAGTCTGCGGAGGATGTCATCCATAAAAATTCCTTCCTGTGGCCTAAGGCGAATCCCGTGCTAGCCCACACAGTAACTGGTCACCAGCCATACGTTACGTCGTGGTGTGCGAAAATAGCCAATGACCAACGCGATGTGTGTGGGGGCGTTCCGACCTATACTAGTATTAACCTTCAGCCTGCTAAGGTAGCCATTGGCACCTAATTTGTCTTGCCGATGGGATTTACCCTCCGTAGCAGGCTTATAGAACTGGGGGGTTGGTGGTCTTGGGCTGTTTTCTGATTAGCCCAGTTCTAGTAAAGGGGGTAATTCAACCAGGCCGGCTATGTTGTCTATATGCAATCAGAAAATAGCACATAAAAGCTCCCGAAGACCATGAAGACCCCAAAACCCCCAATTTTTGGCATGCTATGGAGGCTAGATGGGATCATTTTTTTTTAAGAAAAAACACAGAACTTTGGCAATTCCAAACAACATAAAACTTCGTTTTCCATTTTCATAATTATGATAGGTACAAACGCCAACGAAAATATGCTAATAAACTCTAGATATAGCCAAATTATTGATTTTTGATTAGATAGTAAATCGCGTCTCCGTATCTAACTACACATGTTCGGCATTGGCATAATATCCAAGCAAGATCCCTTTCGGTGGGAAGACAGTATCCGTTAGCCAGAGGAGATGGGGTAACGACAAAAAACGACCATATATAAAAAGCTAACGATCATTCCCCCACAACCTCTGCTTGGAGAGTACCTTGGTAGGTAGTCTCCACCAGGCCAATTCGATCGTCGATGGCCGGCTACCTTCTCTCGCCAATTAATACCTTTTTAGGCCGATTTCTACGATTTATTCAGCCTGCAAAAGACGTCTGGTGGAGACTAGTACCTTGGTAGGAAAAGGGTTAACTCTTACCCTGTACCTGCCAGCTGGTGTTCTACCGTGCGCTGGTTTTTACATGAATATGCAAAGTGTTTTTCTCACCAGTCCGTTCCATATATATATTTATTCAATCGCGAGTCATCGCTGATTGTCTGGACAGGCACGGCAACATCTGCACTTCCACAATCTTTCACCGATCAAAGGTCCGCATTTTCAGTGATAAAGAGAAGAAGAAGCAGGTAGGAGTCATCCTTTTTATCTGTCTGTTGCGGTAACAAGTCATATCAGTAAGGCTGGTACTAATTTGTGTGTTTTCGCGCTTTCTATTTATGCATTTGGTGGATACGACTCAATGCTAAGAATAGCACAATGGTGAGAATGCAACAATATTGTATGTTTTTGTGAACCCTCAAAGTCAAACCACGTCTCTTGGTTGTCCGTATCGGGTAATAACCACAAAAGGTGTTGTTCCTCCTTTGTTCTACGTGTTTCTTTGCCCAGGTATTTTTTTAAAAGAATCGTCCAGTTGTACTGGCTGCAAAATGATATGTATAATTACGTCTAGAACGGTATCACACTTCTTGGGACACGCTTGTACAACGTCGCAGTGCCCTAGTTCTGGCCTGAACACGACAAAACCTGGCAGGAAATAAGGTGAAACATACGTGGGTAAAGTGCGAAAAGCTTGTCATGATATGAAGTGATTTGCATGTGATGAAGTGATTTGAGATGTTCAGTTAGTTATTTTGGAAATGTGTAAAACTTAGTCTCCATATGTAGCATGCCAAAAACTGGGGGTTTTGGGGGTCTTCATGGTCTTTGTGAGCTTTTATGTGCTATTTTCTGATTACATATAGACAACATAGCCGGCCTGGTTGAATTACCCCCGTTAGAACTGGGCTAATCAGAAAACAGCCAAAGACCACCAAACCCCCAGTTCTATAAACCTGCTACGGAGCTCGAGGCTATGTAAAACAACACATTGGACCACTGGACGAAAAGTTGTCTTTTCCAATGGCAGTAATGTCTGGTAATGTTTATTAGTATGTAAACACTACAGGTAATTATTAATTAAAAGTTAAGTTCAGTAATTTCAGTCATCACCATTGCGAAGACTTGACTTTTATTTGTACAACCGTTGTCCAGTAATAGTAAACACTATATATAGGCGACCTTACTGGCATTGGTAAGTCCTATTTTTCGTGCAGCTATGCTGTAGATTCGTAGTTATAGTACCGCGTAATCTACAAGCAGATCCCTCTCGGTGGCAAAAAGACAGTTATCAAATTGGCCAGGCAGTATCCATTAGCCAGAGAAGCTCCGCAGCCACCGACAGGACAAAAAGAAACGGCCATATATAAGAATGTAACGATCATTCCTCCACAACCTCTGCTTGGAGTAGTACCGCGGTCTACACAATATACTAGGCCATCCATTACTCCTGCTATAACATTAAGGTTTCCCGTCAAATCGACTAACTCTATCAGGTGCTGATTTAACACGGAAGCCGACCTTGAATCCATCAGCTAAGCCTTCTATCTTCTTACATTTCACCGCACACTTCATGTTCCATCATCACTGCAGGTCTTTACCATATTGTACCCGACGTCTGAGCACGCGACCGGTCCGTTAACTCTGTCTGTCTTTTGTTGAACGTCTCCCAGGAGAACATTAACCGTCCACGACAGCTTTTAACTGCGGCTGCAGTACGATTCAAGTTCTCCCACGAGAAGGCTTACAACGCTAGCCTGACTATTCATTACTCGTACTTTATAAAGGCGTCCGCGATTTCTATTGTACAGCTTTGACTGACCTACAAAAAGAGTGGCCACTTAACGTCACATCCTATTGGCGGTTTGTTCGCATACCTTTGTGTTTTGTGGCTGGAAATAAACGCTTCCATGATCCACATGCAACAAGGATGAATGATTGTTGGCACAACGAAGAACTGCGTTGCGTTTTATTGATGCATATATAGACCACGTTCGCATTCCTTATACTAGAAACGCCAAACGGAGTAAGGAGTTAGCCTCTACCAGGCACCGCGGATCGCTGGAAAAATAGTAGAAATTGGCCGAAATAAAGGGATAGTATACCAGAGAAGATCCAGGGCCATAGGGTCGCAAATTGGAGCTTCTGGTTCACTCCCTTTATTTCGCAATTTCTACTATTTTTACAGCGATCCGAGGTGCCTGGTAGAGGCTAGTAAGGAGTAACACCAATTGTTTTTTCTCCTCTTCAACACGCTAATTCGTTTACTTGAAATTTACTTGAATGCTTAATTCGCCACCAGAGGAGTGAATGCCTCTTTGCCTTTTGTGTTGTCCGTGACCTTCCAGGTGTGTTCGTGAGAGACGGTGACCCTACTCTCCAAGCAGAGGTTGTGGGGGAATGATCGTCACCTTTTTATTTATATATATACCCGTTTTTTTTTGTCGCTACCCCACCGTCGGTGGCTGCCGATCGTCTCTGGCTAATGGATACTGCCTGCCCAATTTGATACTGTCTTTTTGTGCCACCGACAGGGATCTGCTTGGAGATTAGGTGACCCCACAGGTAGCGGCACGAGCGTGGCCATGTGGGTGCGGCGAAGCAGGAAGAATGTGGTGGGCGCTGTCCTGTTCCTGTCCGTCCCGATGGCCTACCTCGCACTGTACGGTGCCGGGAAGTTGTTTCAGCTGCAGAGAGAATGGTACGTACGTTCTTCTGACTTTTATTTTATGGCATTTTCAATGCAATTTTCGGGTGACAATACTGGATTTTCAAAGTCTAAAGGCGTCCGGGTGAGATGGTGAGATGCTAACCTTGCTGGGTTTTCAAAGAAACATATAAGGCAATTAACTTCTTCGCTCTTTTAGACCGATGACAGTTTCACAGCTGTGCGACTGTTGTGATTAACACACAATAGAATTGTCGTCAGAGGAGGCTCATATGTACTCCCCGTGAATCAGCCAGTCCAATGTAATTGGAAATTCAAGGATGAACTAGAAAGGTAACCTTTGCAAATCAGGTGCATAATGTTACCTTCGTATATGATCTGCTCTGTTAATTCTTACTCAAACACATTCGCATACATGTACATGGTGACAGGAGTCTACATGCCTACTATGAAATTGCTACATTATGTAACCCAACACCAGTTACTATGGTGACAGACGTCAACAAAAAAGGCCAGAGGTTAGTGTTTGGAACAGAAAAAGAAATGGAGCAAAAACAATATGTTTTCCTTCGGTAAACATAACTAGAAAGGTAACCTTTGCAAATCAGGTGCATAATGTTACCTCCGCATATGGTCTGCTCTGTTAATTCTTACTCAAACACATTCATATATGGTGACAGGAGTAAATTGAGGCGTGCATTTTTACATCGCTAGATTCGGGTAACTGAATGCCCAATGACAACGTCCTGCTGTATATAAATGCAATTAAGCGTGCATGCAAGGTACTTCGCAGTGTCACACCAGTATTACCCGCCGGCCCTGTATCCTGAGTGCATCCCAGGTCACCAGAAATGACCAGTGATGCAGAACGTCCTTGCGAGTATCTGTTGATCTATCGGAACGTCCGTGAGTTAACACAACAACTCATGTGCATTGATGCATGGCAAACAACAGTTTTATGTCCCTCCATTCCATTGGGGCGTGCATTAATGTGGTTCCTCGCACAATGAACTGCCAAACATTTGAATTATTTATCACATTATATACTGTAATGTAATGACTGCTGGTAACTATTTGATAACCAGGTAACCTGTGGGGTCGTGTGGCGGAAAGGCAGAGTGCTCGACTCGGAACCAAGGGGTCCCGGGTTCGAGTCCTGGCATGTCACCGATCTTGTGCCCTTGGGAAAGGCACTTAACACGACTTTCCTCACTTAGCTCAGGTGAAAATTAGGCGAATTACACCGAAAACAGTCATGAAAATGTAACAAATAAAAGTGATGTTTAGCATAAACAGAACATTGCCATCCTCGACAGAGAAAGCCTATAGTTTGAGCGTGGGGTCAAAGCGGCAGTACACATCAGAGCCCTCTCCCCTTCTTTAAACCGCTGAAGAAAGATAGTAGATGCCGTCTGAAAGCTCCTATGCTTACAGAACTTTGTCGTGCGTAACAGTTTTAAATACTTCCTTGTACTATCATAAACAGGACGGGCCATGCACCGCCAAAGATACGGCAGATCGCAGAACATCATAACAGAACAACGTCCAAGACCAGAGAGCACACACCTCTCAGGAACCGGACACACCAACATTCCACAGCCAAACCGCTCTGGGCCTTCAACGACGATAGAATAGCGAAAGTAAGGTAGGTGTAGCCCAAGCAATAACGCATGACAATTCTCGATGAATGAATGAATGAATGAATGAATGAATGAATGAATGAATGAATGAATGAATGAGATCCTACATTTGCTGTATATGTGTATAGTATACCACTAAAGTATTTAAAAGCTTCCTGAAGACTTACTAGTCTCTTTAGGTGCTTTACCTCCACGAGGCAGCGGCAAACTGTTTTCCTGGCGCGGACCTAGTCTCCTGGCATAATCAGTCCATTGGCCAATTTCGTTAATCTCCAAGCAGTTCCTAGATCCCTTGGGTGGTGTATATGACCCTCTATGGCCAATGGATACCTGGCTAATTTGATACTGTCTTTTGCTACCCTAGGACCAGCTTGGAAGTACAATTTCGTCTCCGAAGCCTGATAGAGGCTAAAGATTTACTGCAATCTTGCATTCAGTATGCCACTAGAGTTTACTCCCTATTGTTCTGGACAAGACTAACCCTGCTAGATACAGATCGTACTTGTAGTAGACCATATGAAAGTCCCTGTACTTATTTCGAGTCAAGAAAGAGTCTTTATCGGTTCGACAAAAGTGCAGGTACTTTCATATGGTTTACTACAACTAAGAGCAAATCTAATGCATGAATAATTTAGAGTACTGTGTACAGAATGTATGCAGCAAACTACGCAAATAAACTATGTAAGCGGCATCACTATCTCTATCATGCATTCTCTAAGATTTAAACATTAGGCCACACCAAGTAAATTTTATGGATGACGTCCGCGCGCGCATTGATTTTGGCCTGTTCCTAGAAAAAACAACAAGAAATTCCACTTCCTGTAACTATGACCAAAGAGTCACGACAGTGTTGCAAATCGTCAGATTGACGTGAAACCCGTAACGCGAAAACAGGACAGGACGACAACTGCTATTCCACCTGATTTATTGCTGTTTTGATGATGAATAAAAGACTTCTTGCTTGTTACACATACAGTGTCACCTCATTCAATTTTTGTCCTAACATTTGTCGTCTCTTAGTATATTTCTAATCTAGGCATCTTGTTTCCTTTTGTTTTTTTTTTTCGCCCTCTCGCATTAGATTTAGGGTCTCCAAAGGACGTCATTCATAAAATTTACTTGGTGTGGCCTTATAAGATTTAATGGTACACGTAGTAACCTGTACGTTCCTTCAACAGACGTGACATCGAGGCAGTGTGCCACCTCCAGCGGAACATCGCTATGACCAAGTGGAACACGTGGGTCGGCATGGCCTTCCCGTACGATCAGGAGCCCAGGAAGATCCTCCGCCTCACCCGGACACTCTTCAACCTCTTCCCGGAGAAACCCCCCTTCGAGGGCAAACTCTTCAACACCTGCAGCGTTGTGGGCAACGGCGGCATCCTACTCAACTCGGGATGTGGCTCGGAGATAGACTCTTCCGATTTCGTCTTCAGGTGCAACCTCCCGCCCATCCGAGGCTTCGAGAAGGATGTCGGGAGGAAAGTCAACCTGACCACGATGAACCCGAGCATCCTGAGGATATACTACGGCCGTCTGGCCACGGAGAGGGACAGGGACGACTTCGCGCAGAAGATGGTGGAGCTGAGGTACAGCTATCTCCTCATCCCCATCTTCGTGACCATCAGAGGAGCGAAGGATGTCCAGATCCTGAGTGAGTTCTTGATGTCCAGGGAGGACCTGTCGGTCAAGCCGCTGTTTCCGTCCAAGATCTGGGCTAAGACTGTGAACTTGTGAGTGTCATATCTTTGTTTGAAAGATAGATAATAAAAAAAGATAATAAAGACAGAAAGATAATAACTTGTTCCTTTCTATGTAGGTTGCTATATGAGGGCAGCGAAGCAGGCAGATATATACATGTACAAGGGACGTTCGAAGGCGTGCTAACTACTAAACCTTTCTCCACTCTTTCAACTTAGATGCTTAGTTCCGCAAACATAGTTATTACGTTTACCTTCGCAAAAGGAAAAACATCATTTTTGTTCTGTTTCTTCTTCCTCTTCTTCCTCTCCAAACAAATGAAGTCAATGACCTGGACCAGGCGTCTGTCACCATGGCAACTGGTACTGTGGTGTTGGGTTACAACCCTGTGGTGTTGGGTTACATTATGTAGTAGGGCAGTGCTGGAGGGGCTGGTCTCCATATATCATATGTAAATGTGTTTTACTAACGTTGAAAAAGAGCAGTGGGCTAGACTATGTGAAGGTGAACATTATGCATTTGCTTTGCAATTGTCACCTTTCTAGTTACTCAGATTGAATATGCCTCCTTGACTATACAAAAGACCAACATTTCTATAAACTGGGCATATATTTCTTGTTTCCGTCACGGCAGCTACTGGAAGTTAAAGAGCGGAAAGAAACTTGTGGAATCCCGTCCAAGCGCAGATAATAACTGTCGAAGGGAACCTATCTACTAAATCTTTCTCCAGTCTTTCAACTTAGATGCTTAGTTCGATATACATAGTTATTATGTTTACCTTCGAAAAAGAAATTTTTGCTCTATTTCGTCTTCTCCAAACAAATAAATGACACGGACCAGACGGTTCGACTTTTTGAAGGTAAACATTATGCATTTGCTTTGGAAGTATTACTTTTCTAGTTACTCAGATTGAATTTGCGAAAGCAAAAGACAAACATTGCTGTAAATTGAGTGTTTCTTGTTTCTTTAAATTGAGCGTTGTTTTTGTTCCCATCACGGCAGCTACTGGAAGTTGAAGAGCGGCAGGAAACTTGTGGAGTCCCGCCTGACCACCGGACTCCAACTTCTCACCACGGCCCTGTCCATGTGTAAACACGTCAACATGTACGGGTACTACCCCAGCGAGATCAGCCCGTGGGGCACGCCCATTCCCTATCACTACTATGAGCCGAACAGCACCTACAACTACACGTTCGGTATGGGCGGGATCCATAACATGACCAAGGAGTACGAGGTAGTGTTTCAGGACTTGGATGTGAAGAGGATAGCGCGGCTCAGGCATCGGTGCAGCGCCCCCTGACGACGCAGCGAAGTTCTGCACGTCTCGTGAACGGTCGTTGCCATTTGAAACAAGTCTCTACCAGACCACCAGACTAACTACGCTGGCTATATACAGGAGAATATTTGCCAGGGGAGTTTGGCCGCCTTATAGGTTTGACTGGCCTTCGGAGGGAAAGAAACTACCTCCCCGCGGCCGGACTCCCTTGGCCCATTTTACCATCTTTTTTTGCCGAATGCTACGATCCGTATTGCCGTAGAAAGGCCTGGTAGAGGCTAATTTGAAACAGTCGATGCCATATCGCAGAATGGTAAACGTCAAGTGTATTAGAACGCTCCCTCAACATTGCTCCCCCTGACGACCACGCAGCGAATTTCTGTCTTGTATACGATCGTTATACACACACACCACGACCAGTGGACTAGCCCCCTGCTGCAGTGCACTGCTGTGTGGCCCAGGGCTACTGATACGGAGATTGGCGCCGCCCGTCACCTGATGCGGGAAGGAACTTAAGCTTTTATACGATCGTTTCCATTTCAAACGGTCGACGCCATATCGCAGAACGGCACAATTGAAATATATTGAAACGCTACCTCAACACCGTGATGTTTCGTGATGTGGAAGATTTGATCCGGGTTCGAATCCGACCTCGTGCCCTTCTTTTTCACTGATAATGATATCTTTAAAAACTATTTTTCACGATACGGTCGTACATGTGCATTTGGAATGTTTCATTTTTTATTAAGTTGAATTTAATGTTTTGCCTCTCAAAAAAGTTATGATACCCTTGTATATGACATCGACCATTCAGCACTATGGCATCGACCGTTTCAAATGGTAACGACCGTTTACGAGACGGAAACGGGCAACGACACAAAGGGACATTTCATCTTCATTCACAGAAGTGCTGTAATTATATCATCTATAGGCAGATGAATCAGTCGGTTTTATTTTCTTAGGCCTACCCTCTCAAATTCTAATCAAATTTCCTATCATCTAAAGAAAGGGAAGGCAGCTTCCTCCCTTTACACAAGTCATTGACCGCTTTCCTTGAGTAAAGATGTCGCGCAGAGATTAATGTGACGAAGGCCCCTTCCGACAGATAAATTAAAAGGACGGTTATTGGATTTCCACCCGCTCCAGGCGCGGCGGTGATATGAAACCGCAATCAGAGTACGTTCTCAGCATACTGACATCGGCTCGGTTGCCTGTATGTGAAGTATATGTATGGACCAATACCTCAAACCTGCTCAACGTCGCACCAGTGGTTAATCTCCAAGCAGATCTTTCGGTTGGGTGGCAAAAGACCGTATCCATTGGCCATCCTGTATCCATTGGCCATCCTGTATCCATTGGCCGTCCTGTATCCATTTCCCAACCGAAGTGGCTAATGGACACTCCTCTGGCCAATGGATACTGTATATCTTGCCACCGAAAGATCTGCTTGGAGATTACCAGAGGTAGCCATGCCTTAAAATATCACCTTATCCCCGCAACCAAAGATTGTTTTAAATTTTCCTTTTTTCCCCCGCTCAATACGTGAGTGGAACAAGTTACCTGCCGAAGTAGTGCAGGCGCGGACTGTGGAGGCCTTTAGGGCCTCTCTTCCGTAAGGTCCACGCACCTCCCCTCCCCCCTCAGTCATACCCCTCGCGGGTCTTTAGAGGGTATTCCAGACGAAGACGAAGATGTGTTCAGTGGGAGGATTTAGAATCATAACATACATTGCTGTCTCTTATAACATACATTGCTGTCTATTAGATGCCCATTTAGATGTTTCGTTATTAATAAAAGCATTATTCTACATTGCATTTCGTTTCATGTCGTCTGGTTTGTGTTGATAAGTTCAAATATTGTTATTAAAAAACAACATTTCAAGAGACTGGAAAATAAGTTTTACTCTATCTTTAAAAATATTTCAGGCAGCCAACATCTATGAACAAAGAACAGCAAGGGTAAAATATATATCCTAGCGAACTTTAATAATTATATTATAAGCAGCATGAGTAAGCATACATAGAAGGTATATAATTGACGTATTTGTTTACATAGAACTTATCATATTACATTAGGCAGCGTAACAGAGGATGTCATCGGAGACCATTACCATAACCCTGTGCGTATGCATTTTGCTTATAACGTTGCACTGACTGTGCATACCTGTTATTAATCAAAGGCCCAGTCGTTAAGCTCTGCACAACAGGTCATTTCATATAGATGGGTCTTAATGTCGGTGCAGCTTGGCTCATTCGTATTAAACAAAAGACGTAATTTTCAATTTTTTTAAATATATATTCCGAAACATGCAATCACAAGACGTGGTGACGGCACACTCAAGTTTTTTCGACTAATATTAATGCCACCACCAGCACAGGGACAGTACAATACTCATTTACACCTGAGCGAATTGAGGAAAGTCGTGTAAAGTGCCTTTCCCAAGGGCACAAGATCGGTGGCATGTCAGGACTCGAACCCGGGGCCTCTAGTTCCGAGGCGAGACGCTGCCGCTACGCCACACGACCCCACATTTTCAATTTGCGAAGTCGCTGTCAGGATCAGGAATGTACATACACGAGAGAGAACATTTGTTAGCGTCTCGTATCACAAGAACGACAGTCTCTGCTTCGAGTTTATGGATTCAGTAGCATCAACAGGAGCACGCATGGATGCGTTTTAATGCTATAACCGTGACATCGCACAATTGTGCGCCGCTTTAATCAATTATAACTTCCCTTAACGAACGCAAATTCGATTAGAAACGTCTCACAGGATCGTCAACAGGGAAGCTTTTGAGAAACGAGGAGGAAAGACATTGATAATCTGAGTTGCTCCCTGTCTCTAGATATCATTTGTGATGATTATAAGGAACATGCCATACAAAACAGGCTTGTTTAACGCCAAATATTTGACCTTGCCACAGACTCTATATCTGCTTCAACAGTTGAAAAAAGCTCCTTGCTTCCTAGTTGTTACAGTTTTCCAATCTAGCAATGCTGTGATTGATTAAAAGTTCAAAATTCATTGTTTAAACCATAAAACCATTGACATCATGACACCTATCGTTACGGTCGCTCCATATTTTTCTTTAAAATCCGAGAACCAACAAATCAAATTGTCGTGGCCTTGTAGTACCTCCAAATGTGAGTTCATAGTCCGATGGATTTTGAATGACATTTTTCTCCAGATGCACGACCATGACCTTGGGAAATGGCCTTGTTTTCGTGACCTGCTTTTAAGTCCTGTAACTCCTCACGGTCCATTTACCATCTAGGGTGTATTGTTTTTGTCAGTAATGGTGATGACGAGTTCAGAAGTACTCATCTTTCTTGCTAAGGGCTCATTAAGAACGACAAGCACTCAATCTTAGCTGGCGATGGTAGGTCATGTATTACCATACATCACTGTTGTTTATGCATGCAACTCGGCATGCTCTACTACTCTCTACTTCTTATTAATGTTCTCCATTACAAGGAAGAAGGTAACAACTAACCTATATTGTGTACGAAAACATGTCATGAGCAATGTTTCTAGCAGTATCTAAAAGCAAACGGCTTTTAACAACAATTGTCTTCTTCCGTATCCATCCCCTATTTTAGCTCCAGACCGTTTAGCCTATACCTACTATACCCTACTCTGTACGAAATGTGTGATTATTTCTATGGCAATAAAGGCCAATGAAGTCATGTTAACTTTGTGAACAATACCGGACTTTATAATAGTAGTAAATAAAAGCCAAGTCCTGTAATTTTGATACGGACGATTGTAACAGTGGTAGTAAATGAAATTACCAAACTTTACTTTTATCTACTACCATTGTAAAGTCTGGTAGTGTTTACAAAGTAAACATAACCCAACTTTACAGGGATTTACTACCATTGGTAACTTTTCGTCCAGTGCCTATAATATAAAATCTAGCCTCCACCAGGCCTTTCTACGGGAATACGGATCGTAAAATTCAGAAAAAAAGAGAGTAAAATTGGCCAAGGGAGTCCGGCCGAGGGGAGGTAGTTTCTTTCCCTCCTAACTGCGCGGCCAGTCAAACCTACAAGGCGGCCAAACTCCCCTGACAAATATTCTTCTATACATGACCATATGGTAACTCAAATACTGTTTAGATAGTAGTTTGTAGTAAGTAAAGTTTTGTAGTATTGTTGTATTACTGCCATACATTGTACCTTGTACGATTGTTGAGCAATTTTAATTAAAAGTTCATTCATATATATAGCCAGCGTAGTTAGTCTGGTAGAGACTACCTATAATCCACCAGAACTAACGAATGAGAGCTCATATAGAGTTGAACACCCGGCTATTCCCCCGCGTACATGGGCATTCTGCCATTAACAAATGACGACCCGTTGGACCACACCGCCCACCTTCATTTCACATTTAACGGCAGCTTAAAAGGGACCATGACCGCACCTCCATCACGGTCGTACCTGATGTGTACACCTCCGCCCCAGCCAGCGGCTGCTGGTACATATCACGTCATGCATTGATAAATGGTTTATTCAACATTTACCCTAGCCTCTACCAGGCTTCGGGAGGCGTCTGGAAAGAGTAGAAATCGGCCAAATAGAGAGATAACATGCTGAGGGAGTTGGTCCGCAAACTGTTCTCTAAGCGCGGACCAACTCCCCCGGCATGTTATCTCTCTAGATCTATTTGGCCGATTTCTACACTTTCCAGCCGCCTCCCGAAGCCTGGTAGAGGCTAACATTACCCGTGCAATCGCAGCCTTTTATAGCACTGAATTGATGCAGGGTTTACAATCACATGATACATGTAGCATATTTGCTATTTTGTGGAACTGTCGCAAGGGTCTGTGCGGCTACCATTCGGCGCCACCAGGTGACCTCAATACGACTTTCCCTTTCCCATTCACACCTGGGTGGAGTGAGGAGAGTCGTGTAAAGTGCCTTTCCCAAGGGCACAACGTCGGGGCGCATGTCCAGACATGTCCGGGTTACAATTCGCGATGGTGGGGGAGTTGGTGCACATCAGTCGTTTTCATTATTTATGTTATTGTCATCTGTTACTGTTAATGTTATTTTGTTTGTCTTTTTGTTTGTGTCGTCAGATTTATTCATATGTTAAGTGGCACGGTTAATATAAGTATTGTTACTTGAGTGCTGCGCTACTCTGTCTTTGTTTCTTCTATGTTGAATAAAAAAAAATTCGCGATCAAACCCGGGTCTCGTCGTTTCATGGTGGAACGCTCTACCACTACGCCTCCCGACGCATGGAGACCGATTGCATGTCACTGGTTCCGGAAACTGTGATAATTCATCCCTCAAGCCACGTTTCACACCCCGGTGTCTGGAAACTGGATGTTTTTCGAACAATCTCTTGTTGAGAAATCGCTTTACAACTGACATGAGAAGGATTGGATTGTCGTCAAAATCTTCACTTCCAGATGGACCCAAATCGATGAGATTTCTTTTATTCATGTTAGGCTAAAGTGGTGATAGTAACTCAACGTACAGTAACCACTACTTCACAATCAATTCTCAGTTGGCACACGCAAGTACCGCACAGTTATATATATATAATACATAAGGGGTTAGATTGTGCAATTCCTCTGCTTTCATCAACTTCTACAGGTGCTTTATCAGGATAATACGGCGTTCTGCCTGTCACGATCGCATTTCTTTTTAGGCTGATAATGGTAATGGTATCTCTGCAGGGATTAAGAAGATCCTGTAAGTACCCAGACCGTTAGTTTTACTACTGCAATGCCGGTTTATTCCCGTATTATAACACGGGATTTACATCACTAGATGTTCACGCCATAAATATGTACCATTCAGCTCCGGTAACCCTACAATGCATCTCGTATTTCCCCCGAACTATCGCAGACTGGAACTCGTTGCCACCAAGCACAGCTGGGGCATCATCACTAGAAAGCTATAAACAACTCCTGCAATCAAATGTGCAAAGATTGAGTGTAACAAGTTGTTCGGTGTGATATAGCTAGCTGCCGCCGCGCCGCGTGCCTGCGAAGCTGGTGTGTTAATTGATAATAAGCCGAAGGGCGGTTATACCGGCTATACAGATACAGAATGCACAACGGGTGCAATAACTTCTCCACATCCATTGCGATTTCAGGGCAACAAAACATAAATACTTTGGATGAGGAATGCTATCTGGTATTGACATGTACTGCCATTTCTTAGCACATTTCATGCGTGAAGTGTTTGAAATAGCCCCCCAAATCAAGTAGTCATGTCTGGCGTGTCTCTTTATCTTTGGGTACCACCCATAAATAGCTAGAACCAGCCTACAATAGAAAGCAGGCAACCGTTTTTCGTCGGTGATATCACATTTTTCCCTCACAGATATCTGTATGCTATGGGATAGGATTGATTCAACTTGCTATATTTTAAGAATGACCAAAAATTGACTTTGAAAATCCAGTTTTGCAGCCCTAAAATTGCATTAGACGTCTGAAGTAACAACTAAAGTATTGCACCAGGTTTTTCTTACACCTATGGCTATGATATAGGGCGATATTGTCGCGGAAGAAAAATCTTACAACGTACATCCAGCGATGTGTACATATATGACCGGAATTTTATGTGCAAAGAAAAGCGCTGTGTCGCACGTTATTAGATCCGCCCCGGTGTAACACAATAGCCCCGGCCTCAGGTGATATTATCGACTGGGACCACACAAATCGATCGTTGTGCACAACCTCGTAACGTGTTGGAGTTATTGTGTACGTTTAATGTGATAACGTTCACATCTTCTTGTGTGTTTTCTGTACGTTCTTAGCTTGTTACCTTGATTCTCTTTCACGCCAGGAGAGTTAATTTCTGAGTAAAAATTCTGAACCAAAATGTCTTTCAGTCTTTGTTTCACTTCATCCTGCGCGTGTGATTGTAATCCCTGTCAAGTAAAAGGTATGAGATACCCGACTTCTCCAGGATTTTACCAACCTCCAGGATTCTATGTAAATCTATATCTATGCTAATTTTCACCGTGACTTCCTCACGTTGTCATTGCGTGCAACGAACGGCGTTACAGTCTTCATTAAGCCTCTGTCAGACATTCAGAACTCATCGAATCGAATTTGAGTTGAATTTGAGTCAGGGTTTACTAACAACCACGTCCCGACCAGTTCCCGAACATCATCCAACTATAGCCGAACATTAAACATTTTGAAACATTTGCCTGGCGCAGCCAAACATTAGCCGACCTGGCCGAACACCAGTCAACCACAGCCAACCTTGCTGACGACCTACTCCTAACCATGGTTGGGGGGAGTTCGGAATTGTTCGGGGGGCCATATTCGGCTGTGTGTGAGGTTTTACAGTCCAAATCAGATATTCACTGAAAATGTTACACCATTTGAATTTTAACAAACAGATGTTAGGTTCATTTACCTTCCAAATGCGTACCATGAATTTGTTATACTACTGTATTATATTTACAGCATTGTGCTCTTTGAGCCAATATAACTAATATACAAAACACGACCTCTTGTTCCGATGGAGCTAACTTGGAACCCAGCCATGTAGTACAAAGCGTTGCGGTACAGTGTGCCTATTCTTTTGTTACTATCCACCAGCTATATAGTGCACGTAAAACACAATTGCAAGGATCACATGCATGCAGTCTGACATTTCGTTGGCTCTATGCAGGTCAGTGGAGATGATGCCGTGTTCTATATCCGCGATGTTTCACAAGATCACGCGGTCTTTCCTGACGAACTGATCCTAGTCGTAAACCAGTGCCGCTGTCTTGCGTGATAAAACGCTAGGCTTACCATTCTGTCTGACGCGGAATTCCTACAGTAATCATGACATGCCTTGCGGCCGGCCATCATGTATATCCTACACACGTAAAGATGTTATGATACACACAATGTAGAGTGCCACAATGAAACTATAAAAACACATGCAGAGAAAACGCCAGGCTTACCATTGTACATTGTACATGACGCGGAATTCCTACAGTAATAAGGACATGCCTTGCGGACATCATTTATATATTGCAAATATAAAGATGTTTTCATACACACAATGTAGGTGGCCACAATAAAACTATAAAACCACGTACAGAGAAAATGCCAGGCTTACCATTGTACATTGTACATGACGCGGAATTCCTACAGTAGTAACGACGTGCCTTGTGGTCATCATGTATATCTTACACTCATAAAGATGTTATCATACACAGAATGCGCAGTGCCACAATGAAACGAAAAACATATATTTACAGAGTCTACTTCATTAAAGAACTACTGTCACACGTCCTCGTGTATTTCTACTTTCCATGGAAATTTTCAAATTGGTTCTACAAGGTTAGAAACATTTATATTACTTATGCAGCCCTTGGCATAAAAGAAATGCTGGTAAAGTTTGACACTTTCTGATGATATCCTAGCAGATCTCCTTGTGGCTGCAAAGACAGTATCAATTTAGTCAGGCTGTATCCATTAGCTAGACGGCACTTTCGGTGAAATGGATACTGCCTGGCCAAATTGATACTGTCTTTGCGATCACTAAAAGATCTGCTTGGAGATCAATTCTCTGAGTCTGTCCAGTCCAGTTTTACACCGTCACCCCATAAGGTCTGTTCCCCTGCCCGTGTATCCGGCGCAGGTGGAAGGTGTTGAGCTGGTCTGTGGTGACTCTGGTCCCGTGTTTGGGGTTACACCTGGTGAATCCGCACAGCTTCTTCACCTTCCTCTTCATGTTACCTTTATAAGATATAAATTTATTGGTTCATGTGTAAATCATAATAATTACTTAATATGCATTTGTAATTTATAAGCATGTATAAAGGTAATTTATAACTGATCCCTGCCAGACTTCTACATATGAATATTACTTTGTATAGCACTTGACTAATTGTCATTAGAATTTTTAATGATTGAACACGCCAATTTTAACATTGTATTATATTGTAACGATTTTAACTGTAAATGTGAAACTACTTGAGTTAGACTGACACGTCTGTAAAATCGCCTCACAATTCAGCCCGTTACGGCTGCCAGGAGGCATTCATGTAACAACTAAAGTTCTAATAAACCCGTCTACTACTACTTACCGTTGGTCGCCGCGAACAGGACGGCGTTGATGCTACTGCTGGTGTGGGCGATCACCTAGCATAGGAACAGATATTACATTATAAAAGTTTTTGGCTCACTTTTATAATGTAATACTATTATTGGTTGATAACTTGTATAATGTAATATTGTTATTCATTGATGATTTGTATAATGTAGTATTGTTATTCATTGATAACTTGTATAATGTAATGTTGTTATTAATTGATAACTTGTATAATGTAATATTGTTATTAGTTAATAACTTGTTTAATGTAATATTGTTATTAGTTGATAACTTGTATAATGCATTATTGTTAGTACTTGATAACCTGTATAATGTACAATGTAATGTTGTTATTAGTTGATAACTTGTACAATGTAATATTGTTATTAGTTGATATATAACTTGTACAATGTAATATTGTTATTAGTTGATACTAGTATATAACTTGTATAATGTAATATTGTTATTGGTTGAAGGTTAGACATCCAGGTAATAAGATACGCCAAAAAGCAGTTACTCAAGCAACTGGATATGATTTTGGAAACGTTCAGACGCTTAAGTTTCAGGTAGCTAAGAGACTGCAGGAGAGTTGGTGCTTATAAACCTTTAAACCTAATCTCCAAGCAGATCTTTTGGTGGGGGTAAGACAGTATAAAATTGGCTAGTCTGTAACCATTTCCCCACTCACTTGGATTAATAAACCTGCATTTCTCCTGCAGTCTTTTACTTTTTAGTGTCACTGACGAAAGGTAGTGCGGATGCTACCTGAAACGCCTGACCGTTTCCAAAATCATATCCAGTTGCTCGAGTAACTGTTTTTTTTGGCACACACACAAACAAACAAACAAACAAACAAACAAACAAACAAACAAACAAACAAACAAACCAGGCTGAGGAAGTGCGCTGCGGGCGGCCAGACGTCCCCCGTGTCGGACACCACGATGACAGCGTACTGCAGCCAGCTCAACACGAAGTACACACACAGGATGCCGAGAGACCGGAACACCTTGTTGTACAGTTAACGATCTTACTTGTCAAAAGGACTCTGATACTGTTTTTTTAATCATATATATTTATAATTTTATATGTCTATGTCAGAGTTTATTGTATCACATAACTGCACATGTGGGTTGATCGACCTTTTGTAGTTCGGTGCTTCTGGGAGAGACACCCAGTAATGTTCCTCATACTAAATATTGTTTTTATCTGTTTTGTGTTTTAAACGATTTTAGAGTTTAAGCGAATCAACATTGCCTGCCAATTTGTACACGAGTCTGTCAATTCAGCCTGTTGGCTGCCATGTGACTTGTCTTTGATTTTAATAATAAACCAGTCTCATGCCCGTAGCCAGGGGGGGTTCAGGGGGTTCGGAAGACCCCCCCCCCACAAGGCTCAAAGGTCCACTTTTTGGTCCACTTTTTATGTAAAGGTCCACTTTTTGGTCCACTTTTTATGTAAAGGTCCAAGATTTTTCTTGAAAAGATGGAGTGGAATCGTAGAAAAACTGCTCCCTTTGTCATTGAATAAAAATTTATCTCTGATTTTTTCTTGGAAATCCTCTCAAAAATGCACGAAATGCCATTTTAGAAGGTTCATTTTTCAAAATTTTCCGGGGGAGCATGCCCCTGTAATAAAGGGATAGTATACCAGAGAAGATCCAGGGCCATAGGTCGCAAATT